TGATCTAGATCTGATCCTGTCTAGCAATTCCCAATTACTTATGTTGGTATTTAACATAAATCACAGTAAAACCCCCTGGATATTGCATTTGTACAAAGCAGGAGAACACTGAATATCAGCACTCCTCTCTTTTCAGACAAACTTCAGCCATCAACAGAAAATAGAACAAGCCACTGGACTCCTGGCAAAACTGACACAGATATTTATACTGTGTTCTTAAGCTCTCCAGCGAGAATCTGGTGCATCAGCCACTGACCACAATCTGCTGAGAAACCTCCCTGTCACCCTCAGTTCTTCTCTTCACTTGATTCTTTCTGTAGTCCAAGCAGTAATCACTCTCACTTGCTAAAAACATCAGTGTATCTTAACCACACTTAACACATATTTAAAAAACAAATCCCAACTAATAATAAATAATATAACATATATGAACCACATAAGCTGATTTTCAGAAACACACTCGTTCCATTCCATGAACATCTATACATAAGCATGGTCTATTTCAACACTTAGCTAAGACTTAGTTAAGAATATTTTAAGAGTGTGTTAATATAATTAATTATAATATTAATTAATAATAGTATTAATTAATATAAAAAATGACTGATATTTTTAAAAGCTAAAGGTGAGAAAAGATAAAATTTAGAAAGTGATGAGTGCTAGGTGATGCAAATAAAGAAGAGGCAGCACAAGTTTACCAAATTTTAAAGAAAAAAAGAGAATAATCTCTCAACTTTTTGTTTTCCTAATAATTTTCCTAAATGTATATATTTCAGAATTTTTAGCCACTGTATTTTTTCCGGAAGGGAGAAAATGATTCTGTTTGAGAAATGAAGCCATCCTGTGAATTGTAGGGGAGTGAAGCATTTGAACTACTTTCAAAACCAGCTTACAAAGAAGTGAGCCTTTGTGCCTCTTTCACAGGGACAGCCTTGGAGTCTGTACTTGGTCACACACATCCTTTATATAATTTAAAGTCCTAGTTCTTATTTACCAGTTTGAACAATAATGTCTATAACTATATACATGCTATATATAATGAACAATAATGTGTATAATTCCATTACTTAATGTTCAGCTGCATTTTCTGAGAAACCCCAAACGGTGTCTCTAAAATCCTTTCAGTTTCTCCCTGTCTCCAGACTAGCACACAGTGAACAGACTGCTGAGAGGGAGGAGGTAACATTACAAGTTTTCCTGGAATTAGTGTACTTTAGACAAATGAGACTGTAAAAAAAAAGAAGTTTATCACATTATGAAGCAGCCTGTTCTGCTGTTGCACATGATTACCAAAATGGCCCAAAAATTACACAGCTCTGGTAAGTTACAGCAGAGGAATGTTAACTGAATTTGTTTAGCATAATCCTTGATCTCATATCTCACTTCTGACTCTCCCATCCTTTATGGATAATCCTTTTATTAATGAAAGACAAACACACATGTTCAATCGAAAATGCACCTGGTCACATTCCAAAACACTAGAAATTTTGTGCTACCCACAACTTTTACAGAAAAGTGACTTTAAAACATCTTAAAGAACTTTCAAAATGACAGTGAGTAGGATGAAAATGTAATTTTTTACACAACACAAAAAGACACAGTCACACTATGGAATGTACCATTCCTTACATCCATGAGAGGACGCTGGAGAAAGAATATTGAGGGACTACATATTTGGGAGTAAGAACAAAAGCTCATGGAATCGTATTTTCCAAGCTATAGGTTTAGCTGGTGCATGCATTTTAAATTATATTGAAGGCTGCTCAGGTGTGGAATACTAGAAATAGTCCTGATCATGCTGAAGTTGGTGGTACCAGATAAATCTGTTGATCATAATACTTCAGAATAGATGACAATATGCAGTATTTAAAGCTATCATAAAAAAACTCCAACAAAATAAACACAGGAAATCTATGGTAAAATGTGTCAATTTTGCCAAGTTCTCCAAAGTCAAGGAATGTAAATCTAAATTGTTGTCAAAAGCACATACTATTGCCCAAGAAAACAACTGAAGACTTTGTAGGATGAGGACAATGCATTTTAAGTCTACTCTTAAAAGTGTTCAGATGATTTCAAGCATTCAAGGGCTCTTGCTGAGGCACAGCCCTGCCAGATGCAAAAACCTGGACTGAGAGTTATGAGACTCACAGAAAACAATTTCTGGTCAGCATTTCATGTAATCAACATGCAAAATCTGATTCAAAAATTCCCTGCCTTCAGCACCTTTAATTATTCTTCTTTCCTCTAGAAGGCAGCAAATCAGGTGATTATTTATTGAAAGATCTGTGAAATGTTTTCTCATCAGACAGTGTTAGGCTGTAGGCTCCTTTCTAGGATTTCATGTGGACTCACAATTCTTTTTGCCTACTGATTCTGCTGATAATCTTTTTTATCCATTTTACTAAACATAAAAAGAACAATAAAACCATATTTGTTGTTGCAGTGGCATCTCACAATGATATAAATAACTCTTTTGTAAGTGAAGTTAGGTGACTGAGTCAAAGGCAGCAGATAGAAAAACATTCTCCTTTGCATTTATAAACATTGTTTTCTGACAATCCCATCCCTTTTGTCCATGACAACTCTGGTCAAAACATCTATTTTATTAATAAATGTTGAGGTAAATTGAGTAATTAATGGTTCTTCCTGACTGATTATTGAAATGATTGATTTAGAAAATAAGTCTTGGTTCAAAGACATAAGGTAATATGGCAGTACTTGAATTTAAATGTAATTGTTCCCCCACTAGATTTCTTTTGTCTGAGAATACAGAAACTACTCTTATTTTCTTGACACAGAAAAAATTATCAGTCAGAAGAGTTAGAAATAAAAACTTACTGCCTTTCTTCTCCCTTTCATTAAATTTCCCTGCAGACTAAGAACTACCATGGTATCTTGTCTTTCTCTGTTCTATCCTCAAAAAGACTGAGAAAAATCTAGTAGATTATCAACACTGAGCTGTTTGAAAGAGCTAGAAATACTGCTCTATTATCACAGCAGGAATTTCCTAAGTGATGAGTTCATCATAGGATGCACAGACATTCTCCTGGAAGGTAGAATAAAGGCTGTACCTGGAACTCAAAGCCAGCAAATCCTCATCTTGACTTGGTGCCAGGTCATGTTTTGCCAGACAAAGATATTAAAAATGTAATGCCAGTACTAACGAGAGATTTGGCACACGAAACATGAGGAATGTTACAGATTGTGCTGACAGTGTGACACTATGTTTTCCTGGATGTAATCTGGGTATCATGAGAGTAAGCTTGGAGCACTAATGAGAAGAATGATATTGAACTGGAAGAGCTGCTAAATATGCAGTAGCCACAGGGTTCCTGGAGTGAACTGGAACTGAAATGAAAACTGCAATAGTGAAAGTAACAGAGGGTAAACTAGGCAGAAATACAGAAGGAAGAGACTCTCAGCAGGCAAAACTTGTTTGTGGTTCCACGCTTGCCAGGACATAAAGGGTTTTTCTAATCATACTCTGTTTATCCCTGAAGTACTGTTAAAGAGGAGCAGGATTTTTGAGCTTAAAGGGGCACATACCATTTCAGGATATAAATGAGTTTCACAACTGACTGGAAAAAGCCACGCTTAAAACTTGAACAGAAAACCTGTTTATTATCTGCAAGAACTAAAATTCATATTGGATATACAAAGTTCATTCTATGTCTTTGAGATTCCTGTGTTTTTTTTGCTGTTGCCCTTGTTGATTTTTGTTTGCCTCCTATTTGTATCAGCTACAGTTAGTTATCCTTATATGAAATGCATATAATATTCTTTAATGAATTCTTTTTTTGACCATCTCTGTTGGAATTCTCAGCATTTGCACTACAGGTCTAGACAGGAGCCATGCACCCAAATAACTCTGACAGTCAACAAAATCTGTCAGTGTGCTAGACGTTCACTTATTGAGACACAAATCATAAATATAGATATGTATAGTCATTGAAGAAGCATTACCATCACTAGAACTTTAAACAGAATGCTAGCTAATTTATCTCTTCAGTCTCCAAATGAATGTTCCATAATTCTCAGTAGCTCACAGTGTTGCCTCTGGTATCCTGGCTCCTGTTAAACTGCTAATATCTTCAATTACCACTTTATATGCAAAATCCACCACTGAAGTTATACTTAATTTTTGACTTCTATGAAAGTGTGAGATACAAAGGAAAGCAGCAGCCAGGCAGTTCTTTGTCTTTAGGAGTAGGATAATTGAGGGAATAACAAAGTAACCCTGAAGCTCATATTGTGACTGCCCCAGTTGTCATTTATTTCCACTGTACTCGATTCACACTCTTCACAGGAATTCAGAGCAGGAAGTTTTAAGGTAGAGTGGACTTATACCTCCCCTTTCCTCAGTACAATACATTTTACTACTATCAGTACTTGGAGATAATGCATAATTCAGTTTGTCTTGTATTAATATATTGTTCAAGGGAAAAAGAGCAAAGAAAACTTAACCCATGAAGAAAGAGGTCTACTCCACACAAAGCCCTCTTTCTGAGATAAGTAAAGAAAGCAGATTTGCTTTTATTTCTTCCCTTTCCCTCTAATGTCAAGTGCAAGGATACCAAAAATAAAGCAGTGTGTTTTTCTGGATTCAGAACTATGTCAAGCAGAAATTCTTTCTCACTTTTAGTAACAGGAATCCTATTTTTGGATGCACTTGAAAAGTGCACTGCAAAGAGAGATTATTATTATTTTCTTTAAAGATTAAAACAGTTATGTTTTGACTAAAACATGTAACTGTGATGCTCTGGTAAACAGCAGTGGAAAAATGTAAGTAAGAGCAACCATTACTATCCATTTCTCCCTGTTATATTTTATTTTAACTTCTTTAATTCAGCCTCTAAAACAAGCACACAAAGGAGTAAACCCCAACCTCTGTTCTGTAGAAGGATTAAACCCGGGAAATAATTTAATAAAACTCTACAAGAAAAATGACTTAAGTGTTGAGGACAATGCAGCACTAATGTGTTTCATAAGCACTGCCTTACCGGCTGTAAGAGGGTCAGTGCACATGTCACTTCTGTTTTGCTTCCATGCCAGCAGGCACTGCAGGCTGAGCGGATCCGCCGCTGCTGCTACGTGGCTGTTGAACGCCACCATCAGCTGATGAGCCTTGGCGATGCCACAGTAACTATCTGTTTCAGCCACCAAGGGCAAATTGTTCAGAGATTTTGCTGCCTCGGAGGCCTGACTGAAATGTTCCAGAGCTTTGTTATAGTTCCCCTAGTAAAGAAGAGGGAAAAAAAGGAAAATAATGTTAAAAACTACTTGTAGTCAACTGTATTTTACCTTGACATTAGAGCCTCGTCCTCTGACGCCTCAGAGATGTGGCAGCCCACAGAATGACCTATGGCAGGGCATTAAGGAAATCACACTCCCTTGCTGTTTTCTGATCTCTAAAATCCAGATAACACTGCTCATATCTTTGAATTGAATAGTTTTTTGGTTATCTCTGTAGCATTTTGAGTGTAAAATCCAAGTATATCGATGCTAAGTATTAATAAAGATTGCAGTCAGACCATTTAGAAATTATTGCTATTGTTTCATTGCATTCAACATTTTTTTGTGGGAGGAAAGTTCCTAATTTATGGTGGTATTAAATTTTAAAAAACAACTCCTAAAAATGGAAAAAGGAAGGATAATGAAGTGATAGACTCACAGCACAGAAAGTAACAGAAATTAAAACTTACTCATTTATGGGGGAAGAAAGGGGTATACAAAACCCCAGGGATATTCCTAATCACAAAAAGAGAAACAGTAGGAGAAATGTAGCCCAACCAGTGCTGAATAGAAAACTCAAATAATTTATCTCTCTGTCCTACTATTGGAGTGGAATTCTGCTGCCCTGATGGCAGAAACGTCCTGACTGAAAACATTTTCAGAGCTGTCTTATCCTTTCACTCTCACCTTGATTTAGTAAGATTGAAATTCCCTTCTGCACAGAGCTTGGGAAGAGAGATTCCAACTGGTACCAGTTTCACTTGATACCACTTTTTGGGATGAAAATTCCTATAACTGCTAAAATATGCATATGATTAAAAAAAGGAAAAAAAGAGTAACAGAAATGACGGTAGTCTTTTAGCTTTGTTTAATACAGCAGAAGAGCAGAACTAGGCCTGTAAGGACACATCAATGAATAAAGAATGATAAATTGTAATATAACAAAAAGCAGAAACACCTACTTACCATACTCATGAGAACTATAGCAGCTTAAGTGATGCAATTAATGAGAGGAATGCAGCAAATCAGACTAAGAAGCTCAGAAAAAGTGAAATCAGAAATGACAGAGTGTATCATGCATATTTCAGAGTGTACATAATAAGTAAGCAACCTGTTTAACAAACTAGGAGAAATGAGACCTAATAGTCCTGCATAACACAAACCCAGGCATTTTAGGAAATGAGAAACATCTGTGTAAAACAATCATGACTAGAAAGAAAACTGTGTGTACAGCATTAAAAAAAGACAGTGTTGGTGAGGGAATAGTGAGATGAGAGAGCTGGAAAGATACAGCAACAGTATGGACAGACCAAAGTGAATTTGGTCAAAATGATTTGTGTTTGGAGAAAAGGAAGAGTTATATCCCTGGTTTATTAAAGGTCCCCATGGATAGATCTGGATATAAACAGAGATATCTTTAATTTGATGGACAGTACTACTGCAAATTTTATCACTGGGGGATGTACAGAGTTGAATAAAAAGACCCTAATAATGACTTAACTTAGAGAATACTGGTGATGACAGCTGACACCAGCAGGCAGTTATCCAAAAGAAGAAATGTTAATGCACTCTCAGTTTTGGTAAACACTGCTGACCTTGCAGAAAAAAATTATATAGAAAATGGGGAATTGCAAACTTTAAGATTTTTTAATTTATATTTTAACTAAATATTTTATATATATTAATATTATTAAGTTACTGCACTTGTGCCCTTCTACACTACTGGCCCAGCACAAGGCAGAAAATTCTGAACTGAGAAAGAGAATTTAAAGAATAATCAAATAGAGATTAGTTCTTAAAATACCTGTTCTATTGAATTGATTATTAGCAATGGTGGAAGAAGGGATGAAATACAGAAGCAGTTAAACAGAATTTGTTTAATTATTTTTCAAATTTGGAGGAGACTAATTCAGCATAGTGTCATATCACCCTGCTTCCTTCTAAGTTTCAGATCAAGTTTACAGTTACTTCAAGTTGTCAAAGAACTAAAAACTGAATTTTCAATGAGAAATTCAGCATTTATGTTACGAACACAGGTAAACATAAAACTCTCAGGCTAATTTAGAGATTATAGAGTTAAAAAAGTTTCTACTGCTTAGGAACTAAAAACAAGACAAACAGAAGAGCAATTTTGGTAGTGGGAGTTCTCTGTAAGAGGAACCCAGGAAAATAAAAGCGGCATTTATAGATAGCGTAAGTGAAAAGGGGAAAGAGCTCTATGCAATATATTACACACAGAACTTATGACAAAAAAATATTCAACAGAAGATATTTTATTATATTATTATTTTATTCATAGTGAAAGTGTTTCCTAAGTTTCATATTATCCAGCATACAGAACAAATTCTTCTTTTACTTATTGTATCTAAATAATTTTGTGTAGCAATTCAGCTCTAAAATAGGTGTTAAAGCATGAATCTTTCACTTTTGCAGCAATGTCTTTAAATCTTTTGGTTTCAAAACCGAAGTGCTCCTGTAGTGCAAGTGGAGTGAGAAGAGAAAGTCCTTCCACTGCTAACAGACCTTTGACAAACTACTTGCTGCTAGAACCTATTTCACAAATTTGACTGAGATGATGTAGAGAAAAAATGTAGCTAAGATTATAAACAGCTCATTGGTATGCAGTGCAGTATGCATTCATGTATACTGCAATAAAATTTCATTTGCATTAACCGATGACTCTTTATGGGCATATATGGCCCCAATGGTGATTTGGATGCAGATTTTTCACAACATGTAAAGTTTGTCCTGATCTGAATTTGGAGTTTTATATTCATCTATTTTAGAACAATACTCTGTGTGTTAAATATGATGTGAAACTTTCACCTTTCCCAGAAAATTAAGGCACATTTCATTTAATCACACAGTGACTTCTCCTTGGGTAACTCCTGCAAGATGCAACACCTGGAGCAAATCCTCCTGCGTCATCTCATAAACAAAACCAGATTTTACCAAGAAGTAAATCAAGTTTGAGATCATTACTACAAACAGTACTTACTCTTTCATTGTGCACTTTTCCAAGTAGGACATTTGCATCCACCAGGCTTTGGCTTAGATTAGCGCTCTCAGCATTCTTCATAAATTCTCCCAAGTACTTCACAGCCTCATTTGATTTTCCCTGACTGAAGCAAAGGACAGGGACAAAATGAAATATTTACTCAGATAGCTTCTTCAAATGCTGAAGACCTGCCCCCTTGTTCTGAAGCAACTTTACTTTGTGATGACTCATCCATGACTGGGTTTTATTTCCAAATGGCCTCCAGCGCTACCTGTGCTGAGCTCAATAAAACTACTTCCAAACAGAATGTCTGAGGGCAAAGCTGGATCCTTTCAGCAAAATAGAACAAAACATTCTTTCAGAATATTGTGCCATATTTTAAGGCCAAGAATGAAAACAGGTGACTGATATAACAGGGTTTTTGGACCTTCCATTATTTTTTATTTTTTTTTTCCGTACTAAGCTGCTGATAATATCTTCAATTCAGCTGGACCTCACATCCTGACAAAATAGGGGAAGGAGGTATGAAGGTGTTTTTTTCAGTAAGGTCTTCCGTCATTCAGAGCTGCTCTAGAAGCTGGTGGTGCAAAAGCAGCTCCATAAAAGTATTGTATCTTAATTCTGGGGTGACAGCCTTTCCCTGTAACACAATACTGCCCTGTGGCTGGGTGGATCAAAGGTGGCCAGGGTCACACAGGCAAACCTATAAACTGTGGATTGCAGGTGCCACCCCCAAATCCCAGTGAGCTCAGAGCAACCTGAGGTCACAGCTGCATCTAACTTGAAAATTGGCTAATGTACCTTGACAATAACATTTGCAGATTTCCTTATTTTTTTTATTTTTTTTTTAATAAAGCCAGTCATATTAACAATATAAGACCTCAGCAGTGTGATTGCAAGATATAAGACAGACATCTGAGCTTGCTTGTGAATAAGGCACGGTGCCCTTTTTTCCTTTAAGGCTGGAGTGTTACTCCAGCTGACCTCAATATTAGCCATGAACTTGAGTCACTAATGTAGGAGTGTAACATGCTAAATGTCAATGCACCAAGCAAGACAGAAAATCCAGTCTTAATTAAGAAATTCACACAAATAGGAGTTTCTGTAAGTGATAAAGAATTGTGATCTATTTTCTCACCATCTTAAACCACTTTCAAGTTATATTCCTGCAGAAAATGATGGCCTAGCATTTATTTACAATACAGTTTTTATTATAAACTATATTAGGGATGTGCGCTTTCAAAAAAAAATCTGGCAGAACTCTGAATTTCCCTCTTTTATGCTACTGGAGTAATTATAACAGCCTGCCACGAAAGAGGAAACACAGCAAAGCTTAGCTGCAAATTTACAATATTGCAGTGATTATCTGTATGTGACTGAGAGGGCAAAATTCCTACAAAAGGATGCTAAATCACTGCAAACTAACATTCTTGAAATGCTCAAGTATATGCTACTGTAAAGCTTAGTGGTCAATTAGCAGACTTGGATTTACTAAACTTTCCTGATTTAAGTATTTTATTACCATGAGAATATGAAACATATCAGACTGTAAACGTTTACCAAATGTCAAAAGGCTTCTAAATTTTAAAATTAGAAACACATATTTTTTTAACCTGTTTATTTTTTCCAAAAAAAAAGAAAATCAAATGTTTCCCTACAGAAACACAGCATATGATTTATATAAGTTAAAAGACAAGGTTAAAGTGTTAGACAAATATTAATTCCAATTTTTCTAGTTTTCTATATGCAGTGCACAGGTGCAACTTGAAGAGCATATTATATGGTATAATCATTAAATCCATTCAACCAGACCTTCGAGAGTTAAAAACATATATTCTGAGGAAAAGGACTCCTTGGTCCAAGGAATGAGAATGAAACAGTGCAGAATATTTGTGTATCAAGGTGATTCCACTTTCCAATTGGGAAAACAGGACTGTTAACACCCACATCCCCTGACAACTGTCCAATTATGTATATCACACTTGGCCTACTGTTTGCAGTAGAAGTAATCAATAAAGGATGTGGTTGAGTGAACATAGATTTTGGTTGAACCAATGCATGAAAACTTAATCATTTACTCAGAGTGGAGAAATCAAATAGAGCAGAGATGAAACAGCCACTAAGGGGTTTTTTGATTGTGCCACCAAGTTTGTGGGCTAGAGGCTGAAAGTAATAAAGCAAATGGAATCAGTGACAGGAGAAAATGTAAAAAGGTTTTCTTAATTTCATGAATTAATAGAAATGTTTTGATGCATTTTTGGCCATTTTTTATTTTTCACATCAAAACTTCTGCTCCACATATAGAACATATGAAAATTGCTAGCCTATATAACCTCTTTGAGGAAAACAGGAACCAATTTGCTACATATCAGAAAGATATTTCTCACTGTTAGAACTTCACTTATGCCAGGTAGCAATCAGTTGGTACAGGTTAACAATTTTTCAAAGGAAGTATTTTTAAAAGCACTACAGCTTGAGATATTTAAAGTATGCTAGAAATATTATTGAAACACTTTATTCTGCACAAGACCTGATAACAAGATAAACAGGTCTTTTCTACTTAAAGGGCTAATATTTTATAGTTCCTTCAAAAATCTACATGTTATTTTATACAGCCATATACTTTCTATCTCCTTAGACATCACCTTCCTAAATGCATAAAACGCAATTTCCTAAAGATATAGTCATTCATGATCCCACAGAACAGTTATGATGACTTCAGCAGAAGAGATTACACATCTACAGCAACTCATTTTCCAGTTTCATGCTAAAATGCCCTATGAGATTTTTACCCCTATTAGACTTTTATGAAAATATGCACCTTTTATAGGATTGCTCATGTGATGGAATTGGATGCATAAATCATGTGTCCACAAGAAGTCATTACCATGGTGGACACTGGCAGAATAAGTCAAGAACATGATGCTATTATGTCAGATTCTTTCCCCTGGAAAATGACATGACTAAATGCACATGACAAAGATTTTCAGTTTCCCATGGTCTCTGGAAACATCTGCAGCAAAGATTTCACAAAATATTCCAAAGCCATAGACAGGTTCTGAGCCATTCAGGAGGGCTCAGGCACTTTCTCCAATCTATCACAAGGAAATAAGTGCAAATTCTCACAGATATTATGGTTGTAATGCATTATTTTTGGGAAACAGTCATCTTCTTGTGAAGATATTACCCATCAAACTTAGAATTATTTACACAAATCTAGCCCAGACCAGGTAACAATACAAGTAAAGGCAAACCAAACAAGCTGAATATGGGGATTCTGTCACCAGCAGTGATTATTGGTGCATTTATCCAAAATGTTCTGTGTCCAGCTCTGGCATCCTCAGCACAGGATGGATATGGACCTGTTGGAGTGGGTGCAGAGGAGGCCACCAGGATTCTCAGAGGGCTGGAGCACCTCTCCTATGAAGACAGCTGAGAGAGCTGAGGTTTTTCAGCCTGGAGAAGTCACCAGGGAGAATTTATAATATCTAAAGTGATCTTATCATAAAGATGGGGAAAAATTGTTGAGCAGGGCCTGTTGCAACAGGACAAGGGGCAAGTGTTCTAAACTGAAGGAGGGTTGATTTAGATTAGATGTAGGAAGAAATGTTTTACAACAACTGTGGCAAAACTGGAACAGGTTGCCCAGAGAGGTGGTTGGTGCCCTATCCCTGAATATATTCAAGGCCAGCCAGGATGGGGCTTTGAGCAACTTGGTCTGATTGAAGATGTCCCTACTCACTGCAGAGGGGGTGGATTAGCTGACCTGTAAAGATCCCTTCCAACCCAAACTATTTTGATTCATGCATGATTCATAGGTGCCCAGACTTTTCTCTATGTAAGTTTCTCAAACAACTGACAGTTGCTGAGTGTCGCCCTAAAAATCAGGCATTTCAATACTGCTTTCATAATTTCTAGCCATTTTCCCAAGAAAGTAACTATAAACATAGGTGTTTATACATCCCATTAAAGATATGCCTTTTGATAGACATCTCTCACGGCCAGTGCGGTAGGGAAGGTGTTAACCTGACTACCCAATCCCTGGTCATAATCAAAACCTGTAAATAACCTGAAAGAACAAATAAATGTCTCTTCTTTCATCACACCAAGAGCTGGGTCCGTGTGAATCATTTTGTGTCCAACAGTGACAGCTGAGAACCATCATGATGTTTTACAGAAGAGTTGAAGAGTAAAAACTTTGGTATCATGTACCCAAACCTCTTCAAAGGAGGTACATATATAAGGTGTTTAATTTGGTAAATGCTTTCATGGCAAAACTAGCAGATGGGTTTTATCTGTTGTAGTCAACAGCCATTTTCAAAAGAAAGGGTTTATGGCTGGGTCTTCACCAGGAAGACCCAATGTATTCTCTAATCTGCTCTTCAAGATTAAATCCCTGATCCTACACATGGGATTAAACTCCTCCTTCACGTCAATGAATCAGAATATTCCTCTTCTAGAAGAAGGCCTTAAATACTAAACTGAGGAGTCTTACCACTCTTAGTATCTGCTCCTCATCTACTGTTTTCCTTCTCTTCCAAATTGCAACAACTGGAAAGCAGTGGGGCTGTCCATTCATGGACAGCTATAGCATGCTCCCAGAAGGTGTGGAATACAGATTTGATGCAGAAGAAAATCACTAGCCACTCTGTCTTTTGGTCTGCTTTTAAGAAAATAATTGCACTGGCATGGTCTTTCAGATGAAGGGTTTAACAAACTGACTTCAGAAAGGTCTCAAAATCTGCAACTTCTTGAGTAAATAAATGCATGTGCCCTCATTCCAGAATACCTAAATCACAGAAAGAAAATTAATATACATAGTTTACCAGGGATGTTCTCTTGACTATCTTAACCCAGCCTCTACCCAGACTGCTACTTTTTGAGAATACAAGGAGCTCAGGAAAGCTACTGAGAGCTCAGAAAACTTTGTACTCATTGCAAAGCCACTCATTGTAACAGCTGGTGTTTTACTACTTAATCTTTCTTGGTTAGGCTTTAAGAGAGTTTAAAAACTGGGATCTGGTATTCTTAGTGTGTTCTGTGTCTTTTTGAATATCTTTCCTCATGTTCTTATTTAGCATGCTCAGAATACATGTAGACATGAATTATGCATCAGAGAGCTGAAGAGTACTGTGGCTGTGGCTGATCCATGTGTGCTTGGATAAGGCCAAGAGATAAGGGATCTGACTCAAAGAGGAGAATTTGCTCTGCATGCTGAAATAAACCTGGTGACAAGTCCCTCTCCATATTGCCAAGGTCCATCATGCATCATATGCACTGAGGTCTTCAAACATAGGATAAATCAAGAATAAGCTACAACCTTCACTTTAATATCTTTTTTCCCTATCTCATATGGTAATTTCATTAGACTATTTTATGTCAAAATTTGTACCTGAACTAATTCACCTGGAGGAAGATTTTAATGCCAGATGCTGAAACAAAAATATTGAACATAAGCATCGTATTTGCAACAAATCTGTACCTAGTTACACATGCACAAACCAGAAGTGAGTGCAATAAATGGAAACTTACAGTTCAGAAAATATTGCACTGAGACACCTACTGAAGTTTGCTACATTCTTCCAGGTTTCCTCTCTTTCTTAACCTGGAAAATAGGTCTGCATTTCTATTTTCCAGTAAGGTAAGGTCCCCCCACAAACCAAAAAAAAAACCCAACACTTAAAAAGCCCTCAAAAAGTGGAAGAAAAAGGACAGGTTTACAGGCAAAGAAAAACTAGAACTATACATTTTAAAAAATGTGTAACAGTATAAAATAACTTTCCATGAAAGGGTCACTTACTGCAAGAAGGGCACTGCTTAAAATTTAAGCAGTCAGTAATGGGAAGCGACAGACCTCTTAACAATTTCAGTCTTTCACAGCTGAGTGAATCTGCACTGACAGTCAGACAAGGATGTGTTAACCTACCTTGCCAGGATCTGGGCTACAGCTGCATATGCTCTGCCCAGGCCAGCAGAATCACAAAGGTTTGTGAAGATTTCTACAGAGGTGTTCAAAACCTGTGAAACAGAAAGATAACAACAGTAAATAGTGTTTTAGGAATAGTAGGAATTACCACTTTTTCTTCCCCTCCCAATCTCTCTGTCCACACAGAACACAAAATTAAAGCTTTCCCACTTCTACAGCTGTTCTCTAATTAGCCATAATGGGACTAGAGTTTTGATCATTATTTATAGTTGTTTGAAACTATTATGTAATTACAAATCAAAAAGACACAACTTGCAATTATGTCTCTGTATTTTGGCAATTTGCAAAAAACCAGAGTTTTTTTTACTGATTTGCAGTATAAATTTTATTATCCATTGTTTAAAGGATTTTAAGAGCCTGTGCTTTTATTGAGTTTCTGAAAATCAATAACTTAAGATGGAGTCCTTTGCATTCATACTGTTTTAGAATGATATGCTGAAATACAACTCAGTATTATTTTTTTCTTTAATCTGTCACAAGTTATCTTAGTACAATTCAGATGCCCCAAAACTGAATCAATTACAGGTTATATATTTAATCTATGTTGTCTTAAAATACTGTAGATAGCGCTGCTATTTTTCTAATTAATTATTCACTCACAAGAAGTTTATTAACATTAGCTTGGAATCTACTCTATTATTATCAACCCCTCCATAACTGAAGGCTTAAAGCTGCTGCATAAAAATATATGATCTTAATTTAATTTAACACTGACATCACCTGTATTGCAGAATTTATCTTTTCATCCTTTTTTTTTTTTTCCACTGGCGATGACAGGAGAGTGCATATAAAATTAAATCTTATTCTTTCATCCCTCCTCTTTGTTGCTTGACCCAATCTATTACACACATGAGAAAACAGGAAATCTCCAAAGACTCTCTATGGAAATCCTTTTTGCACATTTCCAAGAAAGGAGTAGTGAATGTCATTTACCAGCTCTGAAGGGGGATGGGAGATGCCCAGAGACATATGACAGTATCCTGCATGCCCCATGATGCCCAATGATACTGAGGTAAAAGACTGGGCATTTTCCACGAAGAGCGCATCCCCTGTCACTGGCAAAGTGCATGGTTCAGGAGAAGACAACCTGTTTGTGCTAATGCTGTGGGTGTCACCATTTCCATTACTGTTTCCACCACTCAGGTTTCCTAGTTTTTGGGGTTTTACTACATGCAGCAGCATCCCTGGACATGGTTCTTATTCTTTAGCTGCACAAGCTCCGCGTGCACCAGAAGCAGCATTGATTAATGTGCACTGCCCTATTTATCATCCCTCAAGTACTTTCTTATCAGTAGTGTTCTAATGTTGCATCCTATCCTTGCAGGTCACTGCCAATTGAGTTATCAATGCATTAAGTGTGACAGAAAGAGTACAAAGGCACCCCAGTTAGGAAGTTGTCACATCAGTTCAGAACTCTCCCTAAACTGAATACATACATGATGTTGTCAGTGCCTGCAGTACATCCTTCTAATGATCCAGGATGGTAGCAGAAACACACAGGTGTCCAAGAAATAATTCTTGGTATTGCATTTAACTCAGGGGACTACAGCGCTTGTTGTAATAATCGTGCCCATATTAGAAAACTTGCTATCAGAGTATCAGGAGGTGTCACAAATGTTATCTGCTGGACTGAAATCATTCCTACTTTAAACTGGCCTCTACAATATTAAGCTTGGACATAGGGCCTACAGTCATTACTATGAGGTGCAGGAAGGTTACTTAGGAACTTAAGGATTTGGCTACTGTATATTTTTTTCTATTAAAGATATCAAAAAGCCTGAAAAGTACAGATAAACCCAAGGAAAAATCATACACAGCACAGTTGAAGTAAAAAGTTGTTTCCTTGCATCTCTGCAACAGCTGTGAGAAAGACAGAAGTAAATAAATAAAGCCACTCATTCATACTGATTAAAAATGCTCATTTTGGTCTCAGGTTACCACTATTCTATACAAATCATTCTATTGTACTTCATTCTAAATAATGAGGAAATGACTTAAATTGAAACATCTTCATGAAAGGGAGGCAATCTTGATAAATTACCATAGAAAATATATTCTTTATGTCTGTATTTCAAATGACTCCTCCCGCTTCAGGTAACACATAGGGACACAGAAAGGGACACAGCAGCTTGATGGAAAGGAGCTGTGTAATGCCCCTGGATGCCACAGCTGCCCAGTATCCATTTATGTGAAAGATGTGAAGAGGGTTCTCTTCTCCTGTGATGTATGCCCAACCTTCAACCCTCAGGATAGAAACACTTCAGGACAGAAACATTTCATGATAGAAAAAGAAGAACAGATCAAACAGGTTAAAGTGACAGTTAAACACATAAGCATTATAGAATTTCACCCAAAGTCTCTTGAAATTACAGCAGATTTTTTTATTTTCATTCAAAACAAAAAAAACCAAAAAAAAACCAACCAAACAAAAAAAAAATTTACATGATGTAAAATCAACTGGAGCCGGCACAGTGATGCCTGCCAGAATCTGTAAAAAGCCTAAAACCAAAAAATGGGCATGAAAACTTTCCTGATTATTTTTATAGGATAGGAACAACCAATCCATGTAACCGGCTTGCTGTGGATACCACATAGAAGAACACATGCACGTGGCTAGAGTGGCCAGAGGGTAATCTGTGGGCAGGGCTCTGCCAGTCATCATTTGGATCTAATGGAATTTATAGGTTCCCAATGAAAGTTTGCCTTTAGACAGAAGAATAACCAGAAAACAGCATTTTATATATATATATATATGTATATTCTGTGCAGGGGAAAATTACATCCAAGGAAGAGGTAGGTTAATTAATTAATGCTGAAAACTCCTACACAAATGTGCAATTTTACTGCATGGGAAAAATTCAGACAACAAAAGAAAAACTTTCTTATTAATGTAAGATGCTTCTGCTGCAGTATTCTATAGCAAATATAGTGCTTGAAAATGTCATCTTGGTAATTTTCTTTGTAATTATTTGTTAATTTATTTATTAATAAAAATATATAACAATGTGTAAATAGATATTGAATGGGACTATGTAAGAATCTCTACTGATAATGTATATTAAAACCAGTTTGGGTATTACACACATTTAGCTAAATTTCCTTCTCAAAAGTTAGACAAAGTTTCCAGAGATTTACTTATTGAAGGGGTAAAACGTCTATTTTTCCTTTATATTTTGTTTTGTTTGTTAGTTTTTTTAGAATTAGCCATGTAAAAAGAGTTCTGGGGAAGGAAGATGTGAAAATAGATTTATCTTGATCATACTAGACTCCATTCTAAAATTATAAAATTTCCATATTGTTTCAAAGACATTTTGATACTCCGAGCAACTAGTTGTATATGAGGTTGAACAGATTAGAATAATGTGCAGTTCTTTTTACTATATATACTATATATATATATATATATATATATATATACACACTATATGTACTGCACTATATAAAAAATGTAACCTAAGTTCAACAATATAGCAATTATAAAAACCACACTGATTCTGGTCACAGATTAGTTTTTGGATCAAAGTGACCAAGCACACTGACTATCTCAAAAGTTTTACTTCTGTGGGTCTGTGGAAAAAGTAGCTTAAAAAACCCAAATAACATGAAAGTCAATGTCTAATACACTGGGTTTCAATCACTTTTCCTCCTTCATGCAGGATTGGAAGGTAGAAGTTGAAGGTGGATTTCAACTCCCACATAACAGACCACAGGATAGCTCCTGTGCAAGCATCCATTCACAAAATCAATTCTCGTTCTGTGTCATTGTAAGTCTGTTGTGTCCACAATTACTGTGTAAAAATCAAGTATTAAGCTCTGCTTAAATCCACAAACTAGAGCCTGTTTGTGGTAACTAATTCACACTAATTCTCTAGCTAGTGGTAAATTTCATGTTTAGCTCCTTTTCCAAGAAAAATATTCGTGAGCTCTCAGGCAGAGATTTACTTCAGTTATCTTGGCATTATGCCAGGCTGAGCCTCCAGGCCTTATCCATTAATATAAAAGAGATACAGGAGCTCCTCCCCCAAGAAATCCCTCCATCCAAAATCCCACCCTTTATTTTTCATTGTTTTCATACCTGTAATTCTTTTATATGTGCACAAAAACATGCATGCACACCCCATTAGCATATGCAGGACCAGACAAAAGCACAGAGGCTGTGGAACACTGATACATCTGGGGATAATGGACAAAAGAGCAAATATTGAAAGTATGAATTTATGTTGAATAAAGAACATCTATCCAACTCAACATAAGATTAAAGCTACTACCAGCATTTCACAGATTTGGTAAAATACATTTCTCTGACATGCACATGATGAGATAACATTGATTTATAATACTGTAACTTTAAAAAACACAAAAACATAGTTCCGCTCTCAACTTTAGATTTGATATTGCTGCCAAACTTTATTGGAAATACATTTGTTTTGATTTCTGCAAATCTAGCTGTGTTTAGCCATTTCACAGCTGGTGAGCAGGAAAGATGCTTCTGCCTCATTTACAGATCTTGAACATGAATCAGACAATCAACTGGACCATTAGTCAAAGAGATCAGTAGGTAATGATTCCTGACAGGCACTGCAGTGGCAGGCTAAGGCCCAGCCTGGCTAGCAGCATCTGACAGTATTTTTCTGAAGCTGACAATAGGTGTTGGTAGACAGACCATGCAGTCGAGTGAGACTACAAGACTCATATCACCTTGTACCTCTTAAATACTTTCAGAAAAAAGCACATAGTTCTGATGGTTGCTAAATAATCATTTTAATACAGTCCAGTGAAAATAAGAGACAATAGAATTGCATGCATAGGCACACTGCAGTTCAATGAACTCTGACCAGCAGCTGCCCCAGAAATGCTTATTTAAAAATTACAAAATGTGCAGTCTTTATTACCATAATTTGAGTGGTTACACACCTGTGGCCATGCCAAATAAGATTAAAGAAGTTTCATAATACAAACCCAGATATAATCCTTTTTGCCAAAACACAGCATGGGAGAGGTAGGACAGCAAAAGGAAATTGTATTGCTGATG